GTTCCTCGTAAAACTAAAATAAAAGTAAGAGTCATATCAAACAAGCTCTCAGAAGACAAGAACCTATCTTCGACTTTCATAATTGTTAAGAATGTAATTATGCTAGATCTTCATACGTATAGTCATAAACTAGACAAAACGACATAAATGAATATTAAGGATCCATTTATTAAGCCTCCGTTAGACCCCATTAAATTTCATTTCATTACATTCTATTTTTCTTTTTCCTATTTTTAACCATACAATCTTTCATAAAATAATATTACACGTAAGTCGAAAACTTTTCTTTCTTTTTCAACAATTTATTTTTTAAAAAAATACCGTTGTAAACATACCTTAGAACATCTTCAAGAGACTATCTAAATACAAAATATTCATTATTATAAACAGCTAATACTTAAAAATAAGTTCTAATAGATTTTTTATCTTAACGTTTTAAAGAGAGTCAAACTCACTATCTATTCTTAATGTAAAATGATTGCATGAAATAAGTCACATATTTTAATATTCTACTTAAACTGTTCAAATCATATTTAAATTGATTGCCCATTGACATATAAAAAATTATGTTGAATAAAATATGTGGAGAAATCAACAAATTTAAAAGTTAAAATAGAGCATTGTTGAAGTGTATAAAAAATTTGACTATTTAAACTTAAAGATATTTTTCTTTATAAATAAAATTTTTTCTTGGAGATGCTTTGGAATAATAGATGAAGTGAATGATATGGAAACTTGTGTTTTATTTTTTCGTAAGCATTAATTATGTATATTATTTATTATTAAAACCATGATATCAAAATAAGACTGAATTAACGATTAAATCGATAAAGATTCCATTTCGTATATAATTCTTTGACGCTTACATTTTTGTTTCGCTTTGACAATTCCATCCGCAGCGATAGTGACAGTTGTCATAAGTCCAACAAAATGTAGGACGAGACGCTTCTTCAATGATAAAGAAATTACTTATCCAAATCAATTGAAAAAAGGATCGAACAAAGAACAATACAAGGTCTTTAAGTCAAGCATTCGAGTACTCATTTGCAAAACTAGTTTAATTTGAACATGCATTAATTAGTTAGCTGTTAGTTTTGCTCACAAATACAGATCAAAGGTCAAACTAATAAAAAAGTCTTAGTTGGGTGACTGATTAGAAACAAATAGAAGTTAGGGGATCAACATGACATAAGCCTGTAAGTTTAGTAACCTATTGTCCTTTTAGTTGGGTATAAACACAGTTTATTTTTATTTTAATAAATTGATATTTGCTCTCTTTGAATTATTATAATTACAAAATTACATTCTACCTCTTCTCACTTTTTACAAATTTGGCAAAAAGAAATACTATTCGTCATCACTGGTGTTAAGCCCTAGTTTATGTGACAATAACGTGACATTAAATGATAGGTTCATTTATGAATAATATTATCTAGTACCACTAATGCTACAACATTAGTTTATGTGGTGCTAGGTGATCGACTCAATGAAATGAAATTATGTGATTGATTTAATTATACCATTCATTTAATGATAAATTATTGCCACCTAGACTAGTGTTTCAATACCAATAGTGCTAAATAATCTTATTCTTCATTTAAATGTAAAGTCATATGACTCATTTAATTGAATTTATAAAGTATAGACACAGACAAATGTTCTAACACAACTCATGCTAGATAATATTTTTCTTTGAAAAATCCAAAATAAGATGAATTGATAGACTACATCCGTTGCATGCGATAACAAGATTTAGTTATTACTAATTAATACAAAACTAAATATAAATATGAGATAAATTAGAGATAATCCCCCCATGGTCACTAAACTTTGCCGAACTTTCCCCAAGAGGTCAATGAACTTCAAAAAGTCCCTAAATAGTTATTGAACTTTGCTGAAATCCCTTTAAGAGGTCACCGAACTTCAAAACGTTCCTAAGTGATCATTGAACTTTGCAAAAAGTCCTTGGAAGATATCTCAACTTTGCAAATTGGGGCCCATACACCACTAGTTTAGTGACCTCCCAGGGACTTTTTACAAAATTCAGTGACCATTTAGGGACGTTTTGAAGTTCAATGATCGCTTGGGGGAATTCGACAAAGTTCAAATGATTATTTATGGACGTTTTGAAGTTCAGTGATCTCTTGGGGGTGGGGGTTTCGGCAAAGTTCAGTGACCACTGGGGGGGGGGGGGGGGGGATTTTGGCAAAGTTTAGTGATCATTGGGGGGATTATCTCGATAAAATTACACTTAGTGACGAAATTTTGGAGGACAAAACACGGTCACTAAATATTATCCTTCACAATAAAAATGAATCAATGAAATTTCATTGTCAAAATATTTTTTTCTTTTTCTTTTTCTTTTTTTTTTTTTTGGCGTAATAATGAAAAATGGGAAGTCGAATGAGTAGGGGACAAGGCCATGGGTACCAGGACATAGGTATTTAGAATTCCAATTTCCAACGAAGAAAAGAATATGTAATTTGAGATAAAAAGTGCCCACTCGAGCATTAATATTTTAGTAATGGAAATGGCAGTTGACCCTCAATGTTTAAGTGGAAAGAGTTGTTGTATATTTCTAGAAACTTTAATTTAAAACATGAATGGGAAGTGGAAATAAGTGTAATTTGTTGGGATTGCAACAAATACCTTTTTCTAAATAGAAAAATTGCGGGGAGGACAACTACATTTTTAAATTCTGCAGAATGTGGGAACTTGCAATGTTTCGATTAACCAACAATTTATTTAGAATAATGTTATCTAATATCAATGGCGTTAAAATACCAATTTAGATCACCCCAATTGTTATGTTCAATTAAATGAATTATTTGATATTACATTTAAGTAAATTTATCATTTGATGTCGTGCAGTTGCCAACTAAACTAGTGACTAGTGTTTGATACTAGTAATGCTGAATGGCGTTACTCTTTACTTTAGCTACTTGAATAAGTTTTTTGTTCTTCTTTTTTCCCCCTTTTGTCGTACAAATATGTACCAAATAAATTTAATATTCTCTCCGTCCCATAAAGATAGAATTACTTTCATTTTTAAATCGAGCAAGAAAATGTAATTAATATAATTAAAAATAAAAATTTTACTTACATTTTTCCTATACGCTTCTACATTAAATAATTGTTGAACCACGAGTAGTTCATTTTTTTAGATAACAAGACACATTAAATAAGAATATTAGAACACTAAAAATTCAAATATACTCTCAACAAGCATAGTGACTTATAATTTGGGACAAATGAAAAAAGAAAGTAAATCAATTTTTATGAGACAGGGGGAGTAATATACAAATCTTTAGAGTGGAACACTTATTTTACCTCCAATACGTAAAAAAGGAAAAAAAAGAAAAAAAGAAAAGAAGGAAAAAAAAAAAAAAAAAAAAAAAAAAACCGTACAAGGGGAATTGGTTGCGATGGTGTCGAAATGGGCCGAAATCTAGCAGGTTGATTAGAAACGGCCCGCGAAATTACAGGCCTCGGTTTGAAATTTCATTTCCTGCAATTTCAATTATTCGTTCTGTTATTTATTGCAGTAAATTCAATAGTTGATTTGTTGTTCATTCTGTTATTATCCAATTAGTTGTACGACTGTAACTTGCTGTTATATATCATCTTACCGAACAAAAGACATACGATATTGAAATCGAGAATATCAGATTCCTCATTTTTCATAAACTTATCGAATTTCAGAAAAGTTCGATCGATCGAACTGGTGCAACTTTGGATTTTTCCTATATTACCTCCCTCACAAAGCTCTAGGGCGGGACGGTGAGGGCTCTCAAGGTTAAGGTTCAACCTTTGAGAATCAAATTTTATAAGCGAAAACATATCTTCCTAAATCATAAATATATCTCTAGCGAAACAGTATGAATGGAAAATAAAATAAAATAAATAATAATAATAATAATAATAATAATAATAATAATAATAATAATGAAAAGACATCACATGAAGTAAAGAAATCAATGAAGAACCTGAAAACTCAATTCCTTGTACTTCAATTTTCAATCCAAGCTTTGCACTTGCAATTCTTGTGGTAAAATCACTCTTTGCCACTTGCTAGGCTCTCTTCAATGATCAAAACAAGATAGCTTAAGTTCTGGAAGCTCCTTAGGTTATAAAGGATTCAAAAGATCACATACCAAAACTCGCCGAATCAAGAAAATGAATCAAAATTTTTCCTTCCGAATTTAACCATGCGAGCACATGGTAGTAGTTGGGTGCACGCATGGAAGGCCATACTTGGCTTCAGTTGCCTCTGTTGAGGTGCCTTGTGCAAGCCTAGCTCTATAGAGCCATGTGCGATCATGGCGTGTGTTTTGGGGGCCAATTTTACAATTTGTCTCTGAACTATCCTCTATATACATTTGATCCTTTTTCATTTCTTTCCAACTCCCTTTTTTTCGTCCAATTAGATCCTAGCATCATCCATATATATATATATATATATATATAATGCTATATAATCTCATTGGAATTGTAACCTTAATCTAGCTGACATTAGATGATATGTTAAATGAAAGGTGAAATTAAATGAGTTCTTTAATTCCACTTATCAATTAATGTCACATTAGCGTCACTTACACTTGGGTTGCAATCCCAATTGAGCTAAATAGCATTACTCTATATATAAAGGATAAATTTGATCCTTTTTCATTTCTTTCCAACTCCCTTTTTTTCGTCCAATTAGATCCTAGCATCATCCATATATATATATATAATGCTATATAATCTCATTGGAATTGTAACCTTAATCTAGCTGACATTAGATGATATGTTAAATGAAAGGTGAAATTAAATGAGTTCTTTAATTCCACTTATCAATTAATGTCATATTAGCGTCACTTACACTTGGGTTGCAATCCTAGTTGGGTTAAATAGCATTACTCTATTTGAATGGACTGATTAATAAACTAAAATTTTGTACCATAATGCATCCTTGTATGCAACAATTATTATAACTAATCAAGACAAGATTTTCAAGGCAAAAAATAATTAATTATACACGAGTTGTTGGTACAGTTGAAATAAAGTTCGAGGTATCAAACTTGGAAAAAAGGAATGGGGTGGAGGAAAAGAGGACAAGAAAAATAGGTGCATCCGCATCAGATGCTGATAGGAAATTATTAAAACACTGAAACACGGATACGAAAAGAGTGAATAACTCCAACTGCATAGAAAAAGCAGCGTTACCTACCAAATTCAGCACTAACTTAATTTTCACTTCCAACCACTCGTGTTTTTATTCAACTTTAATTTGGTAAATTCCCTGCAACTCAGGTGAGGGTATGAGTCAATTTCCTTTTGCCTATTTAAATTGGCTTGCCCTTCTCAGTTTCCTCTGGAAATCCCCTCTCTGTCTATATATCTGTGTGAGTGTGGCGGTAAGTGAGAATTTTTAGGGTTAGCTCACCCGCACGGTATCACGAGCCTTTATTGACCTGGAAGAGAGAAGGTACAAATTAATGGGTCGATCTCCTTGTTGTGAGAAAGAGCACACCAACAAAGGGGCATGGACAAAGGAAGAAGACGAACGCCTTGTTAACTACATCAAACGACATGGTGAGGGGTGTTGGAGGTCCCTTCCTAAAGCTGCAGGTTTGAATCTCCAAATCTCTTTTTGTTTATGGATATGTCTGTCTGTTTGTCTCTATGTGTATGTGTGTGTGTGAGAGATAGAGAGAGACATTATGGCTTCTGTATAAATTTGTGTATGCAAGAATTTTAATGGTTCTTCATTTTTCCGGTATACTTTGGGCAGGTTTACTCAGGTGTGGAAAAAGCTGCAGACTCAGATGGATAAACTATCTCCGGCCGGATCTTAAACGAGGAAATTTCACTGAAGAAGAAGAAGAAATCATCATCAACCTCCATAGCTTACTTGGAAACAAGTCTCTCTCTCTCTCTCTCACAGTGGCTGACATGCCCTTTATTCTTCTTCATTTATCTTAGTTAACGAATCCTACTTTTTATCTACCAAGAAGAATCATTTGTGTTCTATCGATACCTAGATTCTTCTGGCTCCCTCAAAAAAAAAAAAAATTTTTTTTAATATTTTTTTTCTAAATAAATTTTTATCTTTTATTGATGGCTTTCAGATGGTCTCTTATTGCTGCACGATTGCCAGGGAGAACAGATAATGAAATCAAGAACTACTGGAACACACACATAAAAAGAAAACTCCTACACCGAGGTGTCGATCCCCAAACACACAGACCACTCAACTCAACAACAAAAAAACCAAATCCGAACACAAAAGTTTTGATAAGCAACCAAGAAAACAACCTAAGACAAGTCTCAGAAATAGCTCAAACGTTTTCTTTGCACCCAATCAATGCATCAGAAGATCAAGTCATGAAAAACTGTATCAGTTTTAAGGTAGAAAATGATTCAGCAGAAGAGTTAAATGGCAGCAGTGTATTGTCTGAGGAATTGCACCCACAAATTAACCTGGAACTCACCATTAGTCTACCCAAATCATTTGGAAAATCTGGTATCAAATTGAAGCAAGAAAAACAACAATTTGAAGACCAGACCTTCGGAACATTAATGTCTCCACCAAGTGTTACACAGGCTGGGTGTTTGTGTTACAATTTAGGGTTTCAGAATGGGAATGCATGTAATTGTAAATCCATGAAAAACGTGAAAACTGATGATATGCAGAGATATTGTAGACCCTTGGGTTGATGACCACTAATTTAAACCGTCTTTGGCCTCTGTTTTGTACTTCTATGTTACTCCATATATACTTGCTTAAGAAGATGGAGTTTAATGAATCCAGCTACCTGTAGGCCACAGTTTGAATTCGGAGATTTTTGCCTTTATGTTTTCTAGCAACATGGATCAGAATTAGGTGAAATAATCAGAGACGAAGTTAATAGACTGACAGTTGCATTCGTTTTTTGTTTTTTTTGTTTTTTTGTTTTTTTTAATCAATTTTCTCCAAAATCATAATCAACCATACATTTAAATGGAAGCAACTATTTTTTTTTTTTTTAATCACACTTCAAAAAATATCAATTTTCTTGAGAAATCTGTACCGAACAAGTTCTTAATGCACCATGAACATTTTAAATGTCATAGGGTAATTTAGGAAATTCTCATATTTATTAGGTCTTCCTAATGTTTCTTTATATACAATCGGTATTAGTGTGAGCCTCCATTCTAGAATTGAGATTTGCTATCCACCAATAATTCACTGACACATCATTCGACATCCATTTTTAAGCACAAATAGCAGTGAGAAAAAAATAGGACATGTTAATTTCAAATGATTTGTCAATGAATAATTGGTTAGACAACAAAGTTGGATAGTCAATTTTAGACGGTAAATCTCGACTCCCATTCTGTATATCATAGCATAGGAAAATAGATAGAGACATGAGTTCAACATGCATTGTAATTCTCTTATCGTGTATGGTGCAATCGTGAAGCGGCACCATGTGGGCACAACTCTTGCATCAAGGGTAAATCACCTTAAATTTTTACTTTTCTTGCTTTCATTTTACTATTTCACTAATTGGTTTTAAGAATCGGACCTAGAAGCTCTTCGACTTGCCCACTTGGCACATTTGGGCTCGACCGATGGGCTCGTCTAGGAACGAGTCCAAGCATTAATCAAGCCCCATTTTTTTTAAAGAGTCGAACCCTCTTGAGTTGTAGCTCGCATCAAGTGACTCGTGCGCACTGCCCACGAGCCTGATTCATGGCATGTCATTTAAAATGTGACCAAACATATTGACATTCAATTTTTACCTTTATTTTAAACTCCATAAATATCCACAATTTTAATTCATTTTTTCACACCAGTTTTCCACAATCTATCATCTAGATTCTACAATCTAAATTTCTCAAATCTCATCTCTATTCCTTATTATCAGTATTCCTCATACAAACACAAGTTATTCAATTTCTTTGATTTCATATTCGATCACTTCAAATTCAAGTTTTTATCTATTATTTTTAATTTTCTATTTTCTACTTTCCCATTTCTTTTTGTATAAAGAAATCCTAATAACTACGATGAGGCTATGTTCGGTGGTGGCAATGATAATGATGTGTGTATTTTAGCCCCAAAATTAGACTACTTGTTGATGAATTATACTGCCTCCATCCCATTTATATAGGCCAACTTTCGTTATTTTCTTGTCCCAATTATAGTCATAATTTTTTATTGAGAATATTTTATTTTGTTTGTTTACTAGCATAACCTTATTTAATTTTCCTTGTTATAACCAATTTTCTCCATTTAATCTTGAAATTGTACAAATATAAATAAGGATAAATTAGGAAAGTTTTTGGCAAAAATTACTTTTTTTGTAACATTAAATAAGAATTTTTAATCCCTCTGAAAAACAAAAGCAACATATATAAATGGGATGGAGGGTGTATGGAACATGGCTAATTATATGTAAATCTTGATTTTATAGGCAACATTGATGACATGGTGGAATTCGGGAAAATGAGCAAGAAAAAGGCTAAAGTGAATTATATTAAAGTTCAAGGATTAAAATATAAGTAAAGAAAAGTTGCCTTGAAACAAATAACGAAGATTCAAAAGTACTAGCTTTCAATTGTATAGGAAAATAGGTGAAATGGGCGAACAAAAGTGAAAAAGGACAAAAAAGGACATTAGAGAAAGTTCAGGGGCAAAGTTGCAAACCTGCCCTTCCCAAAAACGAACCCAAGGTGAGCGTCCTTGCTTGCAGGCGAAGCTTACACCTCAGACCAAAAGTAACTGCCTAAGCCTACCTAAAGGGATCAAGCGTGCACTCTAATTTGTACTAGGCGCATGCCTAGGTCTAATTCTGGGAAAAAAAAAATTTCTTTCCTTATTTCGTTTTGGTATGCAATATTTTGTCACTCTTTATATTCCATAGGCCATCCAGAATGTGGAAAGGATCTTTCATTGTTTGAGAGCACAAGAAGCATTATAACATTTAAGAAGCAAGAATTCATTGTTGGGTGGAAGATTAAAGTGAAAAATTAGAGTTTTCAAGTTTTTCATCATATTCCTTGTCTCTAGTAATGTCTTTTCTTATTCTTTTGTGTAGTTTTCATATGACAGTGTTATGCTAAATCTTTTTTGTATGACATGGATGACAAAACCTATTGATTTATAGTTTTCAATTAAAGACTTATTGTTTTTTTTAGTTAATTCACGTGTTTGTGATTTAATATGCATTTATTATGTTTGTTTAAATATTTGTGCACCATTTAGACAACTAAGTTGCTTATTTGTAATGTTGAAAAACTCACAATAAGTATTGAACACAAGGGTAATAAATATTACGTTTGCGGTCGCCTGTGATAATCTTATGACCGAATGCGTGCTTTGCATATGAATTCAAACTAGGAATACAATCGGGTTGTATTAAGCACATGTTTGATATATCTTCGAAAATAATATTAAATATCAATTCTTTATTGATCTTCACAAACATGTTAATCATACTAATTAACATGAGTCGAGAATTGGAACTAGATATCAATAGATGGAGTTGAAAATTCAATATATTCATCCCGTCATTTGATAAAAATCAAAATTTTTATTGCTTTCATAGTTAATTAGAATAAATAAAACAAATAAATCTCTTTTTTGTTACAATAGATCAAATTTGGTATTAACTAGTCCTCTAAATATGAATGTTATTCCTTGTTGGATGATATACTCAACTTACTATTTATTATTTGTCAACGATCCCGTATGTTTGAAAATTTTTTCGAAAATTTTTTTACGTCGTTCCTAGGGAGTAATTGATTTACTTTTGTTTATTTGTCTATATTAGATTCAGTTGTTCATTTGTTCTTAGTCTATAATCACATAATCTAATTCTCTTGTGTTTTGTTCTTTTCAGACTATCGTTAGTTTATGTAAAATTATAGTGAGATTGAGCTTGTACCATTCGATCTCGAGATTAAAAGAACTTTTAGATAGCACAAATGAGAGCAATGGAAAGTAAGAGAAATGCCCTAGAATCTGAATCTAAATTAGATCAAGGATCCACTTCAGCTGTAAGAGCTAATTTAGCCAAGGGCTGTCGTTAGTGTGGTTTTTATTTTAGCTAGAGATTAAGGGAATCTAGTGCATACACCAGTGTGACCTACAACAATTTATCCTCCATTTGGACAAGCTAATGTCTACATTCTACCAGACGTCATCATCTTCTTTCGAAATCACCAGGACATCAGGTTTTTGGGGAAAGCTACGAAAAAATGAATGCACATAGCCCTTTTGATGTTATGTGAAGTAATCCGTAGCGAACGGTTATAAGTAAATGCACTTCAAATGTGGTTATTTCCTCATACTTTGAATGATGTTACAAGATATGATCCATTCTTTACCTGAGCATCTTATCTTGGAACGACATGGTATAAAAATTTACCATAAAGTTCTTCCAACTCTCTCGAGACCATCAAATTCAAAATGAAGTTTATATATTCAAGTAGAAGGATCTCAATAACTATCTAGAAGCTTGGGCTAGGTTCAAGGACTTATTTAGAAAATGTTCTAACTGGACATTCCAGTTGAGATATACATCTTCTATTATGGTCTACTACCAAAATACCGAATATGGCAGACACTTTGATTAGTGGTTTAGTAATGAAGATGGAAATAGATGAGGCTTGAGAATTGTACAAGAGGATTATAGATAATCAATCCATGTAGCTGATTGATAGGGATAGTCGAAAGAAGTAAACAGGTAGCACAGTATAGATGTGGTGACCGCAATATTAATACAGATGGAGGTGATTACAAAGAAAAATAGATAACTTATCCAAGTCTGTTAACATGGTACATCAATTGCCATTGATTTGCGTAGGTTGCGGACCATATCATACTAATTGCAAGTTGCCCTTTAGCTTCCATGCATGTTAATCACTTTGAGAAATTTAGCTACGCACAGGACTTTTAGAGGTAGCAGAACAACCCCCATTCCAACATTTACATTTCGGGATGAATGAATCATCCAAATTATTTGTTGTCTAACAATCAAGGATAGTGACAATGAGAAAATTATTAAAATAGACCACTGAGGTTCCAACAGCAGCATTAATAGCAACAACCTCAAGATAGGAAACCCTCATTGGAAGACTTGCTCTCTCAATACTTCACGAAGACTAAAACTAACTTTCAAAACCAACAAGCTTGTATTAAGAATTTGGGACAGCAAGTGGGATAGATAGCAGCCGCACTATGAGGTAGAACTTAGGAGATTTTGTCTAGGAACACAAAGATAAATTAAAAGGAATTAGTCAAAGCCATTACTAAAAGTAGTAGAGTTCAACTTACCAGAATTACACGTGAAAATTGCTGGCTAGTGCTATAAACGAATGTGCCTACCACAGGTGAGGAGCACGTGGATAGTCTGAAAAAATCACAAGGAAAATCCACTAGAATTTATAGACAATCAACTGGTTAAGGCAACCACTTCTGTTAAAGCTTATGTAACTTCGATTCCATTTCCATAGAGAGCGGAGAAATATAAGCTTGATAAGCAATTTGTAAAGCTTTTGGACGTGTTTAAAAAGTTGCATATCAACATACCATTTGCAAAAGCCTCAGCTCATATGCTAGAAGAGTGCAGTGTGAGAGTGAAAAGGTCATGCTGACAGAAAAGTGCAGCATAAGACTCCAACATAAGTTACCATCGAAATTAAAAGATCCAATGAGCTTTATTATTCCTTGGTAATAAATATATAAATAAACCATTATGTGATTTAGGTGTATGTATTAACTTAATGCCTTAATATCTTTACAGAAAATTAGGTTTGGGAAAAGTATAGGGCACTACGATTTAATTGTAGCTGGCTAACAGGTTAATCAAATACTCAGAGGCATTGTTGAAGACATCTTGATGAAGGTTGATAAGTTCATATTTCTAGTAGACTTCAT